TTGTGACCCCCCCAGGCACCAGGGCTCTGCTCCATCTTCACTTCTGTGCCCCCATGGCTAGCCTGTTGATAAACACCGAGTTTGGAAGATGATTTGGGATGGAGGGCCAGGCCCCTGCTCACAGCTAGGAGGCCCCGCAGAGCCCTGGGGTGCCTTGTCCAGCCAGCCTTGATTCCTGGTGACACTCTGCCCCTGCCCCCAGCAGCCGTCTCCTTTCATCTGTCAGCTCGGCCTGGAGCCTGCTGCCATCCGAGCTGGCAGGGCGGAGGAAGGAAGCCTGCCCCCTCCCCGGCAGCGGCAGTGGGCTGGCAGGCTGAGCTTTCATGTCTGTTGGGGCTGCGCTCTGGCTGCCTGTCGCCCAGGGGTGTCCGGGGCCAGCCTGCTCCAGGAATGGGAGTGTGGGGGATGTGTGGGTCTCACTGGACAAAGAGCAGTGGTTTTCTGGGAGGGCCGGTGGGGGCAGTGGGGAGTGAGGACAGGATCAGAAGAATGTGGAACAGATGCCCAAGTCCCTGCTCCAAACCTTCCTCCCCCGAGCGCTGGGATCCTAGCCTTGCCCATCCCAGCCCCACCTACCACCTCACTCAGGGACCCTTCCACCCGACAGGAAGCCGAGCCAGCAGGATGGTGGCTGAGGCACTGGCTCCAGGCCCCACCTGCCCTGTGACAGCCCCTGCAGCATGGAGAGGGCTCACTTCTCTTGCTCTCAGTGTGTGTTCTGGGGACTGTGGGTCAGTTGTCACCCACCTCTGTCTGTGCCCCCCCCCCCCGTCCCTGAGGCCAAGCCAGTGGGGAGAGTTTGTTTGCCCTCACCCTTCTGAGTGACTAGGGCTAGCAGGTGGGACTACACCAGGGTCTGGAGTCCCAGCCAGTGCTTGAGGAGTGGTCCACTGAGCTTTGAAAGTGCAGGCATGGAACCCCTTTCTGCAGGCCAGGGTGGTCTTCTGTTTGTCTCTTATTTGATGGGGACACCAGAGACACAAGCCTGAGTAGAGGCCTGGTTCAGGAGGGGCCTACAGGGCTCTGCCCTGAGGGAGGGTCCTTCCCCAAGGCCTCAGGCCCTGTGCCCCTAGGCTGGCCCTGCTGAGTGCTCCAAGGTGAGGGGCAGGGTGGGCCCCCAGCTTACTGGCAGGATTGGACGATGCCAGTGTCCTGGCATGTCCCCAGACTGGATGTAGAGAGACCAGGCTCCAGCGCAGGGCCTCAGACCATGAGGGTCATATGAGCCCCTCTTCAGTGGGCCTCCATGTCCCCCGCCCTTAGAAGCCACAGCTGCTCTGCCTTGTTAAAGGAAAGGGCCTCGCTCTGGCCCTGGCCCCGGCCCCAGTCCCCCATCCCACCCCCGCATGTCTGACCACACCTGGGTCCCTGCTCCACCTCTCTCTCCTGCAGGGCCTTGTGGCTCTTAGGGGTGTGAACCAAGGTGGGGGAATTCCTGGGGTCCTGTGTGGGTGGGTGCCTGTCCCCAGGACCTGGCTGGGGCTCCCACAAGTGGGAGAGGAAAGTGTCGTGGGGGCTTGGGGAGGCCCATTTAGGGGCCCATCTGGAGGCCTCGCCTCCTGGAAACTGGCTGCCCCCGGTGCCTCTGTGCCCTCATGGCAGCAGTGTGAACTGTCCCTTGGAGGCTAAGCACAGGCATGTGGGCATGGGTTGAACAGCTGGCCAAGTGGCGCTGGGGCCAGAGCCCTTCCCTCTCCTACCCCTCTCTGCCTCCTCTCAGGCAGTCCCAGGCAAGAGGTCCCGTGGGAGGGGGCTGTAGTGATGCCAGCACTGTTGTAAGCCCTCTCCTTGACCACCTTCGGAGGGAGACCCTGTGGCCAGCAGTGCATGGGGAACAGGTGGAGCAGTGCAGGGCAGGGCAGGGCCGACGGGTTCCCAGGAGAGCCGAGGCAAGTGGTGCCACAGCTGCCATGAACCTGGCCGGTTTCTCTGCAGTGGGAACACACCTTTGGGGTACAGAGGGTGGGCCTGGCTCCTTCCTAACTCCTGGGCTTCCAGTGCTCTCCAGAGGTGCTAGGGCAGCCTCCCCCTAGGCCCCTGCTTAGGAGCTTTGATGCAGGCTTCACAGTTGGGTTTCAAAGCGTTCACCGCCCTTGTTTGTGTCCCTCGCTGTGGGCTGGAGCTGAGGTTTCAGCGTTCCTAGGCTGGCCTTTGAAGCTTGCTCTTATTAATCTTTTAACATCCCCACCCCAGCCCCCACCCCACAGCCTGAGGCACTCCCGGCAGCTTGGGGCTGAACAGCTTTCCGCCCTCAGCCGGCAGCTGCGGCCCCTTCCAGGAGCTAGCAGCCTTCCCGCAGTAGTCCTGAATTTGGCCACATGGCCAGGGCCTACCACAGCACCCCACCTCCCTGGGGATGAGGAGGGGAGGATGGGAGGCCATGACACTGGAGGCTCGCCCTGATGCTGTGTCGCTGTCGAGCCATCTGCTGGGAGGCCCAAGGCCTGTGCCCAGGCCCTGGAGAAGCCACTCTCCTAAGGAAGTGGCCAGGACGGAGGGAGCTGAGACCAGGCCTCACACTTGGGTTTTCAGAGCGTTCCTTGCCTGGTTCTGGTGAGTGAAGAGTTGGTGGCTGGCTGGTGGCTGGGCCTGCTCTGCCTGGCCCCGCCTAGCCCCATCATGACAGCTTCGGCCTGGCTGGTGCTCTCTCCAAGGACATCTCAGCCTGGGGCCCAAGGAGGTTGGCTCTGGGAGCCCACCCCTCGAAGCCAGCTGCTCTGCCCTCCGGGGAGCTCGCCCCCCAGCAGGTTCAGCACTCACAGACCCCCAGTGTTTGGGGTGGGTGGTCAGCGGGGAGGCACCGGCCTCCATCTCATTCCTGGACAGCAGCAGGCTGCCCTTCCCCAGTGCCCTCCATCCCTGACCCCATCCACCCATGCCCGTCTCCTTGGACTTTTCCTGTTGTGCAGGATATCCCAGAGTTCATGCTGAGTTTTGAGACTGACCTCCCAAAAGTTTTGTTTGAGACAAGGTCTCACTATCTAGTCCAGGCTGGCCTCAGACTCACAGCAATCCTTCTGCCTCAGCCTCCCGAGTGCCGGGATTACAGGCGTGAGCCACCATCACGTCCTGCCCTGACCTCTGGAAAGTTAATGCTGGACAGGAGGCAGAGAGGAAGGTGAGGGGAAATGCAGGAATTCATTCATACAGATGAGAAGTGCAGCTCCCAGCTGGTGGTAAGGGATGTCCTGTGGGTGGGGGCCCTGTGGTCCAAGCTGGGCAGATTGGCTGAGGGGAGAGCCCTGGCCAGGACCCCATGTACCCCATGGAGCCTCTGCCCACCTGCTGCCCACTGAGCCCCCTGCCTCCCTACCTCCCTACAGGCGAATCTTTTCCCTGCAGCCCTTGTGCACTTCGGAGCACCAGAACCAGCAGGTGAGAGGGCTCTGCAGACCCTGCCAGCCGTCGCTGTGCCCTGCACCCCAGCACATCTGGTGCCCTGAGCTGGATGGCCTGGAAGGGCAGCGGGGTACCTCATGTGGGCCTGGGGGGATGTGCAGCCCTGATACCTGCTCCCTGGGGCACCACGTGCTGAGTGGGCTTGGACCTTTGCAGGTGTCTGCCTGGAGCCTGGGCTGCTGGCACGCACCATCTCCCCATCCGCAGCTGACATGCTGGTGGCTAGGTAAGTGCTCAGGGAGGGAGGGGGTGCCTCCCAGGGGGCGCCTGCCCCCCTCACCTGGTCTGTCCCCCAGGTGCATGTCCAGGGCTGTCAGGTCCCCACCACCACAGCTAGACCCTGACCTCGCGCCCCTACAGTCTGAGCCAGCTGCTGAGGAGGGGTCAGTAGTCACTGCTGAGACCACCCCAGGGTCTGGCCAGCCTGTGAAGAAGAGCTTGGACATGGTCCCCAAGTGGCTGAAGCTGCCAGGTACCTACCATGGGTTGGCTGGGTGGGGCAAGGTGGCTGGCAGGAACTCAGGACCCGCAGTCACCCTGGTGTTTGTGCTGCAGCCAGCAAGAGGTGAAAGCTTCTGCCCAGAGGTGCCTGTCTGCCAGCTGCTGGACCCCACCCCTACCCAGACCAGGAATAAAGACATGCTCAAGGCCCTCCTTCCCATCGTTCTTTCTACAGAAAAGGCCCCCAGGCCTTGGTCCACCTGCTCTCATCCACGGATTCCCACCCAGTCCCAGGGAGTCTGGCTAGACGGCAGTGTGGCCTGTGTTCCTGTCAGCAGGGGCCCAGGTGTCCCCAAAAGGCCTGGCAGGCAAAGCCCTGGGCTCACTGGGTTCTTCTCATGTCTCCCGGCTGATCTCATCAATTCCCCTTCTACGAGGATCAGAGTATGGAAGGAAGGGTCTCCCTGGCAAACTAACCTGCAACTTCAGGTTAATCTGAGGTCCTCCAAAGCTGTTGAGGCCTCAGGGGGCTGCTGCTGTCCCTTCCGCTCTGAGGTCTGAGTGTATACTCTCCCTAGAAGGGGAAGGGGAAACCACCAAGAATTCTATGGCTCCTAGAGCCTAAGTTCTGACCTCAGAGCTAAACGCTCCTGCCCTGACAGAGCAGCTTAGGGAGCTCCAGGGAGGGGGTCTAGGTCACTCAGCAGGGTGCTGGGATCCAACATGCCTGAGCGGGGCATAAGCAGAGCTGGCTGGGTGAGCTGGCTGAGCTTGGGTGGAGTTCTCAGGTCAGAGTGGCCTGTAGCTGGGTGGGGTTGAGGGAAGGGTCCCCATTTCAGCACAGTCTCAGGGCAGGCACAGGGCTCAGCAGCGGATTCCCAGGTCCCTCACATTTTCACTGTGTCTGTCCCCTGGCCCTAACCCTAACCCACCGTGGCCCAAGGCAGGAGTGTCATTTCCCAGGCAGACCAGCCAAGTGTGAGGGCTCTAGTTTCCTAGTCAGGCAGTGGGCCCCACGTGCGTTGTTACCCTGCCCTTCACAGGCTTCTGCCTGCACCCTACCACTACACTGTGTGTGTGTGTGTGCGGGGGTGGGGTGGTGGGGGTGGGTCCGAAGCAAGCTGACTTTGGTTGACAAACAGCAACAAGAAGGCCACGGCTAGGAGACAGGTGTTAATTTATTGGTGTTGCTTTGTGAGGACAAAGTTATAGCTCAGGGAAGTATCAGGTGGCTAAAAAGCTACACACCAGCTTTGATGTCTGGGTGGCAAGGCAGCTGGTCGGTTTGTAGAACACATGGGCTATCTAGGGTGGCTGCAGCCAGGAGGCAGACCAGTCCCCCTCCCCCTGCACCTGCCTTCCTAGGACCCACAGGTCTGTTCCCAGGGGCCTGTGAGCCACAGGCAGGATGCTAGGAAGGCGGCAGCCGCCAAGATCTCGTTATCCTTCAGAGGCTGGAGGACAGTACTGGGACCAGGTGGCAGTGCTGGTGTGAATCTAGCCCAGACCCTTCTGGCCACAGGGGGTGCAGCAGCTTGCAGGGGAGTACTGGCTTCCTGGGGGTGGCCTGGGAGAGGCGGATACCCCTAGAAGTCCAGGAGCTGTGGGGGGAAAAGGTGCCCAAAGTGAGTGGCTTGGTACTCTTCAGGGCACTGCAGCCGCCAGGCCTGCACCCCACATCCACATACCAGCTGAGGAAGCACCTTCTCCAGCTGGTCCACATCCACCAGGGCCGTGTCTTCTGCCTGGGCCTGCCGCACCCCACGGACAGCCGCTTCTGATGTGACATAGAAAAAGTGAGGTAGAGGAAGCTGGGGCCATGAGTTCTGGCCCCACCCCACCTGCCAAAAGCTTCTCAGAGCACTGAGCTCAGATACTCCTGAGAAACTGGGAAAAATTGAGTTTTCCCACCGAAAAATAAAACCAGCCACCTCAAGTGCTCTGGTGGTTGCCATCCCTGAGCTTACCCACTACGAAGATCCTCAGGAGCTCTGCCATAAGCTGCAGGGCATCCCCACTGACTGCAGGGGGAGAACAGGTTAGAAAGGTCCCACACTTCAGTCCTTACCTCCCGCCCCGCTGCTTGCTAGCACCCGCACCTTTGGTCTTGTCATCCTTGAAGTGCAGGTGCAGCAGTCTGCTCACCAGCTCCTAGGGGGAGGGCGGGCTCAGTGCCAGCCAGCCACAGCTCCCCCGGGGGCTGTGAGCCAGGGGCAATGATTCTGGGCAGGAGGTTGGGACTTCACGTGGAGCTGGTGCCACCTGAGGCCTCTCTCAGTAGGGGACTGGTTAGGAGGGGCTTGAGATACCTCTCTGTAGGGGACAAGAAGTTGGGGGAGGGGCCACCCCAGTTATCTGTTCTTTCTGGGGCTCCAGGGAGCAAGAGGGGAAGAGAGAGGTGAAGAGGTGGGTGTTCCCATTGCTTCCCTCCCCTCCCTAGGAGGAAGCACCTGCTACTGAGGGTGGCTGTCCCCCCAGTTCTGCTTAGCTTGCACCAGCTCTGTCCTGCTGTGCCCATGGCACCAAAGTGCACTCCTGTCGGAGGTGACTTGTGTGGTGAGAAGGCTGGACAGAGGCTAAGGGCTTGCTTGGCTTCCCTTGGTGGGACAAGTGGGTGTTGTTTCCGGGTTTGAGGGGAGCAGCAGAGCTTTTGGAAGGATGCTGGCTGCTGGGTCTCCAGGGAGGCTGCAGAGCAAGGCCTACCTGTGGGACCTCCCAGGGAGGGAGGATGACAGGAAGGGCCCAAGAGAAATCACTTGAGGTGGCCCACTGGGCACCAGGATCCCAGACAGTGGAAGGTGAGCTAGCACCGACGCCAGCCATAGGGTGTTCCGCTGCCACACCCCCAGCCATAGGGTGTTCCGCTGCCACACCCCCAGCCATAGGGTGTTGCGCTGCCACACCCGGCGCAGGGGAGCGGACGCCCGATGGAGCCTGGCGGGGCAGGTGAAAAACTTCCCAGCAGCGCTGGAACCAAAGGGTCCCTGCAAACAACCACGAGGGCGGAGCGCCACCTGCTGGGCCCGTTTACCTCGCGCACTTACCAGGAAGGCGAAAGGGCAAAACCCGACCTGCTTCAGGTCTCCCACTGCACTGTACAAGAAGTCCAGAGAACTGGGCCGGGGATTTAGCTCTGTGGTTTCGCCGCCTGCTGCGCAAGCGCAAGGACTAGAGTTCGATCCCCGGGTACCCCGCAGAAAAGTCCACAGAACTGGCCAATGCACGGGGCTAGACGACAGCTCTGGAAATCGCTCCACACAAGTGGAAGTGGCCTCCGGGAGGAGCCTGGGACGCGTCAAGTTCCGGCAGGCGCCGAGCAGGCTTCAGCTAGGGTGCACGCCCCTCTCTTCCATCACCCTCACCTGCTCGGGCCAGGGCCCTCGGCACTCGAGGTGGCCAGGAAGGCTTGGTCTGTGCCCCTCCCGGGCGGGCGCCCCTCCAGTAATGGCCCAGGCCTCTCCGCCATCGGTGACCCTGCGTGCCTCTGGGACGGGCGCAGCGCGACCTCCCTCCCTCGGCAGTAGTGGCCATCCTGCAGTGCTGATGTGAAGGATGCTCGGCCCCTCCGAACCTTTCAGCGAAGGGCAAAAGGGCTTAGGCCGCACGGGGAGTGGCGTGGGGAGTAGAGTCCGGTGTGTCTGCCCTGGCTCCTCGGAGGTGCGGCGAAGTCCCGACCTGAGCCACGCCCCCGAACCTGATAGCCAGCGCCGGCCTGTGGGAGGGCCTAAGGCTTCCCGGCTTCTCTCTGCCGGTCCGCCTCTGCAGACCACTTCGGTCCAGCCGCAAACTGGGCTGCCCTACCGTGCACCGCCAGGCAGCAGGAGCCCACCCTTGGAGGCATGGGCAAACAGCACGGGGCTAGCCTCGGGCACGCACCGGTGTCACGTGAGGGGTGGAGGGTCCTCGCCCACCCAGTGCCCGCCGCCAACCCTCACCTTCCGGAAGCCGGCGCTGGCGCTCTCCATGACCGCCGTCTCGTCTCCGCTCGCCTTCCGCGTAGCCCTGCCTCCGCCTCTCAGCCAATGAGCATGGAACGCGGGCTCCCATGGCCACGCCTCCAGCCCCAGCCAATGAACACTGAGAGCACGGTCCGGGAGTCCCGCCCCGGGCTTCCCGCCAATGAACCGGAGGGCGCCTTCCGCCTCCCCCATCCATCCAGCCAGATGGCTCTGCCTCTTCTACTCCGCCTTGGGTCCGGTGCGTAGTCCCGCCCTTCGCTCTCATTGGTCCTGCAGCACCTCCTGGGATTTAGAGTCCCAAGCCGTCCTTCCCAGCGCTCCCCGCTCTTCCTGGATACTTAGGCGCGCTGAGCCTTGTAGAGCGTGGCGGCGGCCGGCAGGGTCCGCGGCGCGAGGTCTGGTTGGGCTCCAGGTGGTGCGACGCGGCCTCTGCTTCGGGCCAGTGATCCCCGCTCCCTGGCTTTCCCTGCCGCTCGGGGACGCCTCCTCCTGCAGCAGCCCCACGGTCCTCCTGTTCTGCCCCCATTGGTCCCGCCCTTCAGGCCGTGCCGCTCGCTCCCGTCTGCCTCCGACGCCGGTCCCCGGGGGAGAGCCGGCACCCGCGGGAGCCTGTCTCTAGGAGTATGCAGGCAAGGTCCCCTGCACTCGGGGACATGGAGGAGCTCCGGCGGTCCTACAGCCACCTGTGCAAGGAGTGCGGGGCCGAGCCGCAGGATGCGGTCCTGCGGCAGCTGCACCAACCCCCGCAGGGCCGACTGGATCTGGCTGGGCAGAGCCTGACGGTGGACACCTGCAGGGCCTTGGGCAAGCTGCTGCAGAACCAGACAGTGTGGACGGAGCTGGTCCTCAGCGACTGCATGCTGAGCGAGGAAGGTGGGCACGAGGGCACCTCGGCAGCTCCAGGCTTGGCTCGGCCCTTTGTTCGGGGCTAGCCTGAGAGTAGGTTCCCTGGCTCTTTTAGCCTTCCAAGCTGCAGGCAGGAATTCTGTGCCCCCTGATTGCCTCCTCCCTTCTCTCTGTACTAGTGGCAATAGTGTCCCCAAAAAACTAGACATGGAGGGCAGTCTAAGGAAGGAGAAACCCTAGCATCCTCTGACATCCTCTGACTTGTAGTTTGAGGCTTCAGGCTCAAAAGCGGTCACAGTGGCTGATTCTGCCCGGCAGGGCTGCAGTTGTTTGAAAGATAAACCTAGAACTGAACGGGGAACTCCTTTCCAGTGTGAACACAGAGCACTGGGGCCACCCGGACAGTTGTCCCTTTGGGAGCTGCCCTGCAATGGGACCCCGGGGTGGGCCCAGGGCACAGAGGCAGAGAGTAACTACACACGCATCCTCACTCAGGGGCCACACTGCTGCTTCAAGGCCTGTGTGCCAACACTGTCGTGCGGCTTCTGGATCTGAAGGTGAGCAGGCTGTTCTCCAGGCAGTAGAGGGGGACACAGGGTCCCAGGGCCTCCGCGTTGCTGTGTTTTGAGGGCAAAGTGTTCACGTAAACAGACTGGTCTCAGGACACCCACCAAGGTCACAAGAACTAAGATGAGCACACCTTTGCCAAAAGCTTGCCTCCCTGGCCTTATCCACTGCCTGAGTAGAGCCCTGTGGAGCACCCACATGCTATTCAAAGGCCAGCCAGGGTGACAGGAGTGACTGGCCAGGCCATTTCTATCCAGGGCAATAACCTTCGGGCTGCAGGGGCTGAGGCGCTGGGAAAACTCCTCCGACAGAACCAGTCCGTTCAGAGGTAGGCCGTGGTCCTGGACGAACTGCCCTTCCTTCCCAGCCCTTCTCTGTGTCAGGTTGAGCCCCAGAGAACACGGTCCTGTGGCCCATTTGCTCCTTCAGGCCAGTTGTCCATGTTTTACATCTGTTGTTGGGAGTAAGCATGTGAAAATCACTCGGGAGCCTCTAGACTGCCAGAGGCCCCTCAACCCGTCACACACAGGGGCCCTGGGGACCCCATGGGGCAGGGAACCCTACCAGGCCAAGCACCTTGTCTCCACCCTTACTGCAGCCTCACCCTGGAGTGGAACAACCTGGGAACATGGGAAGATGCCTTTGCCACCTTCTGTAGGGGCCTAGCGGCCAACAGGGCCCTGCGGCAGCTGGACCTCCGAAACAACCAGATCAGTCACAAAGGTGCAGAGGAGCTGGCCCTGGCCCTGCAGGGCAACACCACCCTCCAGCAGTTGGGTGAGGCCTGGGGCACTGGGCTGTATTCATTGCTCCTTATTCCTCTGCTGCAGGAGGGTCTGGCCTGCAAGCCTGGTTTGTTGGCAGCCTCCGAAAGGAGCCGTCATACCTAGGCCAGCTCCCCCACTCACAGGTGCCTTCTGTCAGGTGACAACAGGTTTCCTTCTAGACTTGCGCTGGAATAACATTGGCCTCTTGGGAGGCAGGTCCCTGGTGAACTGTCTACCCAGTAACAGAACCTTGTGGAGGCTGGACCTGGCTGGGAACAGTGTCCCTGGTGATGTCCTCAGAGCCGTGGGTATGGGGCTGCTAACTGCTCACATTCGGGAGGGAGGCCAGGAGCCTTTGAGTAGTGGCCTGTTCAGCAAGGCGGGTAGCTCAGGGCTCAGGACATGGTAAGCGCATTGTATGAGCAGCCTCACCTGGGTGAGCACCAAGAGGGAAGGGAGAGAGCTGAAGGTGAACATCAAGCTGGGCACTCACTGCCCAGTGCTGGCTGCTAGAGGGTTTGCTTGTGGTTGCTCAGTTCTTAGGATCTATGTAGAAGGGGGATCACCCCTCCCACAGACAGGCTGAGGCCCTATATGGTTTGAGCCCTGCCCTTGGTGGCTGTGCTGATGCCTGAGGTAGCTCCTGGTCACCCCTATATTTGTGGGTGTGGGGCTGCCTGGCCTGTGCAGCTTCTGGCAGAGCTACAGCCTCCACGTTCCCCTGCCTCTGGTGACCCCCAAGTCCTGTAGATGATACTGCGGTCTCAGGCTCAGCAGATTCACACCCCTGGCTCCTCATCCATCCCACTGTGCCAGCCACTGAAGGGCGAGCTTGGGGCTGACCCCGGCCTCTGCCACACCCCTGTGCTGTGGGGTCCCTGCCTCCTGCTGTCTCCTGCCTCACCCTTGCGTCATCGCCAATTTCTTGCTGTCCCAGCCCTGCCTCAGCATAGCCAAACTGTTGTGTTTGCTTCTGATTGCAGCCACCTGGGTCTTTTCAGAACACAGCATCTACCTCTTAGTCATGCCCTTGACCTTTGGGGTGGGGGACAGGCCACAGCATGGTGCCCATCCCTTATGATAGAGAAGCCCCTCTCCCGACAAGTATGAGCCCCCCTGACTCTGGACCCCTCCTGCACTCCGCCCCTGCCCCACTGAAGCACTTCACCTGCTAGTGTTCTGGAGGTGGGGGGACCAGACTTGGGGAGATGGTTTCAGCTTCCAGTGCAGCCGGCAGGGGAGGGCAGCGCAGGGCGAGCTGTTGGGCCCGAGTCCGAGCCGTCCCCACCCAGTCTTCTGTTTCCCAACAGAACAAGCCATGGACCACAACCAGGACCAGCATGCTGCCTTCCAGGATAACCAGGCCCGGACCCATATCCTCAGCAAGGAGGTCCAACACCTCCAGGAGGAGAAGTCCAAGCAGGTAAGCATGGCATCTTCGCAGACCTTGGAGCTTTTTCCAGCCCACCCTGGCTCCGTGGGTGCGGGCCGGCTGGCTTCTCCCTCTCCCACCCCCATGGCTACCCATCTTCCCTTCCTTCCCCCAGACCCCATAGCTCCTTTGACCTGCTGATACCCAGGGCAGGGGGTCCCCCTGACCCGACCTGAGAGTGGCATTCCGCCTCCCTCTGTAGGGGCCACCTCAATTTGAATGAGACAGTGGGACCAGGAAGGCTGAGTCCTTTACTGCTGGGCTGTGTTGGGAGCCTGCCCTCTTTTCCTGACCAGGCCAGGGTGGGCAGGCTCTGGACCCTGATAGGGCTTTGGCCGGCTCTGTTCCCAGTTTGTGGATTTGATGGAGACAGTTGATAAGCAGAGAGAAGAGATGGCCAAGAGCAGCCGGTAAGTGGGCCCAGGACTTCAGGTGGGAGGGTTGCAGTCGAGGGTGGGCCTTGTATGTGTCTGCTTGGGAATGGTCATAGTGAGCTTCCTGCCGGGCATTTAGCTCAGTGGTTCCATCACCTGCCTTGCAAGCACAACATCCCGAGTTCGATCCCCGGTACCCCCCGAAAAAGAGTATAACATAATGGGCTTCCCAAAGAGGTGGCTAGAGGGTTAAGGCAGGTACCACACACTTCCCCAGCTCAGCGCTTGTGTGCTGGAGACTTTGATGCATGGCAGCTGTGGCCAAGGCCAGGTGGGCCCTGGAAAGCTCTACGGCTTGGGGTTCCCAGCCTCTCCTCTCCCTACAGGGCAGTGGCAGTTCGTGTGGGGCAGCTTCAAGAAGCCCTGAATGAGAGGCATTCCATCGTCAAAGCTCTCAAGGCCAAGTAAGCACCTGAGGGGATGGGTCCAGAGCCCCGTGGAGGCTGGAGACATGCCCACAGGGTAGAGGGTACACAGGCAGAGGTGGGCAGTGACTCAGGAAGGCTTTCTGCAAGAGCAGAGCGCTGGCTAGCATTTGGAGAGGCGCCTGGCAGGAGGGGAATGGGAGGTCTTGGCATGGCAGGTCACGCCCCCTGGTGGAGCTGTGGAGGTGCTGGTCCTTCCTCTTTGCAGGCTGCAGATGACTGAAGCTGCCCTTGCCCTGTCCAATCAGAAGGCCCAGGACCTGGGGGAGCTGCTGGCCACCGCAGAGCAGGAGCACAGGCTGGGACAGCAGGTGGGGGCAGGGCTGCAGGCGGGCAGGTGTGGCGTGGAGCAGCAGGGTGACCGGAAGTGTCCACCTCCACTCAGGAAGCTGCACAGAGGGAGTCTAAGCTCCTCAAGGACTTGTCAGTCACCAATGAAAAGAACCTACTGCTTCGAAACCAGGTAGGGGGGATGTGGGGCCAGCCACCCAAGATGCCCAGGGCGGGAGCAGTAGGCTGGTCCAGCTTCCTCCCCTGCTGCCTGCTTTCCAGGTGGATGAGCTGGAGCAGAAGGTGAAGTCTCAGCAGGAGCAGCTGTTTCTGACCAGGCAGGAGCTGACCCACACATCGGCTGAGCTGAAGATGCGAGCTGTTCAGGCTGAGGGTAGGCCAGGGGCAGGCCTACCACTGAAGGGACAGGGAGCCTCGGGGACAGAACACCCCCAGAGAAGACTCACCCCTGCTCTTCCCCACTGGGCCTCCAGAGCGCCTGGACATGGAGAAGAGAAGGGCCCGGCAGAGCTTGGAGGACTTTGAGAAGCTGCACTTCAAGGAGGTGCCTTCCTAGTGCCACCATTTGTCCCAGCTCCCCACGGTGGCTGTAGACTGCCCTCAGCGTGGTTCAGTGTTCCCAGAGCACACTCTCCTGGGGTCTCCTCACCATCCTCGAGTTGCTCATTCTTCACCAGACGGAATGGGTGTCAGACCCAGAGCTGCCTGTTGGGGGTGGCAGGCAGCAGGGCCTGTGGCATCTGCAACTGAAGAGGCACCCAGCTTCCCCTCATCAGGGTGCATGTCCTGGGGTGCAAGGGCTCAGGCACGCCTTTCATCCTGGATTCCTGCCAGGCCCTTTGGGGAGCCCTTTCCCAAGAGATGCCTGTCTTCCAGGGTGGGGATTCCTTAGGGGGAGAGCTGGGAAGTCTCTGTCTGCCTGACTGATTCGAACACTGGGTTAGGTGGAGTGCATTAACCGCCACCTAGAAGAGAGCCAGAAGGCCACACAGGAGAGGGTGCACAGGCTGGAGGCCCTGCGGCTGTCCCTGGAGGAGGTGAGCCCACAGGACAAGGGCCAAGCTCTGGCCCTAGGTGAGCTAGGGATGGCAGCTCCTGCTGTTCCTGGCCTCAGGACCCTGGAACACAGCTTCCTACTGTCAGCCTAATCAGGTTTCACCCTGAGGATCCGCCCACCAGTGCCCAGGGAGGCTTAGGGTGGCACTCAGAAGAGGCAGCCGCAGGGCCCTTGGGAGGCTAGTGGAGGTTCTCCCCTGCTGGGCTACTGGGTGTCCCAGAAGGGGCCCAGGGTCAGAGGCAGGGGGACCGGCTAGCAGATGCCATCCATGGTGCAGGAGCTGAGCCGGGTGAAGGCAGCAGCGCTCAGTGAGCGTGGCCAGGCTGAGGAGGAGCTCATGAAGGCCAGGAACCAGGCCCGCCTGGAGGAGGTGAGGTGCAGCCACAGGTGCACACAGCCCCATGCAGTACCTTTCAAGGGCGCCAGTCCCACAGCTGGGGTGGAGGAGACCAGGGCTGTCAGCCCCAGAGATAGGGCTCTAAGCTGGGACATGAGAGGTGCCGGGAGCCAGCAGAGCTGGACCCAAGCCTGGAGGTGGAGGGCTTGGACAGGCACCCAGACAGCAGGCAATGGGTGGAGTCAGTCTGGGGGTGCTGGAAGCCCTGGAGAGTTCAGTGGCTTCTAAACAAGACCGGAGGCATCCTTCCTTCACGTGTATGGCCGGAGGGTCAGTCTGCAGCAGATGACTCCTCCAGCTGCCAGCCCCAGGGGAGACCCACACGTGCACAGCACTTCCTGTGCCCACAGCAACAGCACCTGGCGCACATGGAGGAGAAGTTACGGTTGCTGGCGCAAGCACGGGATGAGGCTCAGGGTGTCTGCACACAGCAAAAGCAGATGGTGGTTGATGCCCAGGCCCGGGCCAGCCAGCTCCGCCTGCAGGTGGAGGCGCAGCAGCGGCGCCTGGAGGAGCTGCAACAGGTAGCCAGGCTTTGGGGACTACAGGTTGTGGGGTGCCCATCTCTGCTTCTGTCTCATCCACCGTGCTCCTTAGGAGCTGAGCAACAAGGACCAGGAAAAGGTGGCCGAGGTGAGCAGAGTGCGGGTGGAGCTGCAGGAGCAGATAGGCCGTCTGCAAGCTGAGTTGATAGGCCAGGAGGCGCTGAGGGAGAAGGTGGCCGCCCTGGAGCGCCAGTTGAAAGGTGAGTGCACTCTGGCTGGAGGGCTGAGCCGGGACTGGGTCTCAGCCCCAGGGCCCGCCCCAACTCCCTGAACCTCTCGCCTGCAGTGATCACTAGTGACCACCGGGGAGCGCTGCTGGACAAGGAGAGCGAGAATGCATCCCTCCGAGAGAAGCTACGGCTCAAGGAGGCGGAGATCGCGCGCATGCGGGACGAGGAGGCCCAGAGGGCAAGCTTCCTGCAAAATGCCATTCTGACTTATGTGCAGGGGTCCCCCCTGAGGTCCCTGAGCCCCCCAAAGTGAGGGGAGGCAAGGAGGCCCCGGAGCACTCTGGCGCCGGGCCCAGGAAGGCTCTTTCTCCCGGAGCAGCGCGGTGGGAGAGGTGACCGCGAGCTGAGCTGGCGTGCCGCGAAAGTGAGGCGGGAAATACAGAACTTCTTAAATACAGAACTTTTGCACTTGATATGTTTTGGGCCAGCGCCTGTCCATCAACCGGGGTCTTCTCCCGCGGGCGGGCCCTCCGAGGTGGGGCTCAGGCGCGCCACTGCCGCCGGCTGGCCGGGAGTGCTGTGGGGTTCTGCCCGGCTCATAACAGTGTGGCAAACACACGTCTGCCCGCGGTGATCTGGGCGGCGCCTCGAGGCAGCACCGTGCGTCCAGGTCGGTATTACGGCCCGCGCAGCCCCAGCCCCTTCGGGTGCGGAGCCTCGACCCCACCCGCGCGCGCCGGGTAGGACAGGGTGCCTGCGCCCCGCCCCGCCGCAGCTCTCCGCCGTCCCGCTCCGCCCCGCCCGCCGCGCGCTCGGCTGTCTCCGCGCCCGGCGCTCGGCGGCGCTCGGCTGTCTTCGGCCGCTCGCTCGGCGCTCGGGTCCGCGGCCGCTGCGGCGCCGGGCATTTCTCCGCAGCTCGGCTCGCGGCCGCGCCCGCCGCCGCCTGGCCCCGTGCCCATGCAGGCCATCAAGTGCGTGGTGGTCGGCGACGGGTGAGTGTGTGGCCCGGGGCGCAGGGGGCGGGGTCGGGGCTGCGGGGCGCAGCCTGGCGGGGCGGGGCGGCCCGGGCACGAGGTCCAGGCTGGGCGGACCCTGCACCTCCTGGGCCCAGGGGTGGGGGCGCGGTCCACCGGCCCTGGCCCACCTGCTGCCGCCTTGCCCCAGCCCCGTGCGGCCAGTAGGTGGGGCCGGGCCTCACCTCCACCGAGCCTTGGACAGCCGCGCCCACTTGGGCGCTGGGAGCCCCGAGCTCCGCCTGAGATGGGGAGGTGTATCCCAGGTTGGAGAGCCGCTGCTCTCGAGCCCACCGTTGCGCACCTTAAGGCCGGCCTGCCCAGGTCTTCTTGCAGCTTCAGGTGTCTGGGAATCTGTTGGGCTGGGACCCCTGTCATCACCCTTCCACCCAAACTGGCCCCAGGCTCCGCAGGAAGGGTTTCCCTGGGCTGTGAGCCACGTGTGCTGGTTTCTGTCCTCAGCGCCGTGGGGAAGACATGCCTACTGATCAGCTACACGACCAACGCCTTCCCTGGAGAATACATCCCCACCGTGTGAGTGCTTGCAGTGGGGAGGGGACATTTGTGTGGCTCTCCCGTGGGTGCAGGGTCCTGACCAGGTGGGCCTGGTTCTGAGCGTCCGCGGTGGGACTGAGGTGCCCTCCACGTTCCCACTGTTCAGGCAGGAGGACCCAAGCTGGCCTGGGGCTCCTGTCCAGCCTTGCCTTTCTCACTCTCTCTGCAGTTTTGACAACTATTCGGCCAACGTGATGGTAGACGGGAAGCCGGTCAACCTGGGGCTGTGGGACACTGCCGGGCAGGAGGACTATGATCGGCTGCGGCCACTCTCCTATCCTCAAACTGTGGGTGACAACAGGGCCAGCCCTAGGAGGTGGGTGGCTTTGGTAGGTGGAGGGCCACAGGGAGCGTCTGGACTTCTCCTCACCGCTCCTGTCTGTCCTTTCCTCCCAAGGACGTCTTTTTGATCTGCTTCTCCTTGGTGAGCCCAGCTTCCTTCGAGAATGTTCGTGCCAAGGTAGGACAGGGCTGGGGGGTCTCCTGGGACAGGGTTTGTCTCAGGACCTGCCCTCAGGAAACAGGGGTCTCTTGCCTGAAGACCTCAGCGGCAAATGAGATGCTGCTCCCCTTGTGGTGACGGGATGGAGGGGCATCTCAGCACTGTGGTGATAGTCCCAGAGTAGGGTTTCCTGGCTGGGCACTGTCGTTCCTGTCATTTTCGCACAAAGTCACCAGTCCCTTCCTGGTCACCCCACAAGGCAGGAGGAACCAAAGGTGTGTCCAGGGGCAGTGAGGAAGAGTCCTCAAGAGCTGTGGCCTGCTCTGGGCCTGGCCGGGAGAGTTGCCCCTAGGCATAGAGGGCCGCGATGCCCTCAGAGTCAGAGTCTTTGTCCCCACAGTGGTACCCAGAGGTGCGGCACCACTGCCCCCACACGCCCATCCTGTTAGTGGGCACCAAGCTTGACCTCCGTGATGACAAGGACACCATTGAGCGGCTGCGGGACAAGAAGCTGGCACCCATCACCTACCCACAGGGCCTGGCCATGGCCCGAGAGATCGGTGAGCGGGCACAGCAGGCCCAGTGGAAGAGGAGGGCTTGGAACTTGCCCTGCCCGCACTGCCCTCCACCCCCAGCCTACCGCCCCAACTTTCCCGTCCCCTGCCTCACTGTCCTTGTCCCCATCCCTCCTCTGCCGTGCCAGGCTCCGTCAAGTACCTGGAGTGCTCGGCCCTAACCCAGCGGGGCCTGAAGACAGTGTTTGACGAGGCCATCCGGGCGGTGCTCTGCCCACCTCCTGTGAAAAAGCCGGGCAAGAAGTGCACGGTCTTCTAGAGCCCCTGGCCCTGGCCCAGCCCGGTGGAGGGGCAGCCCCTGGTCCGAATGTGCTGTCATGTTGAGCTGTCTGGTGTCCAAGTCTGCCGTGGGGAGTGGGAGGGGGAGCATGGGGGCAAGGCTGGGGTGATGGGGTCCTGTCCCCTCTGCCTCCTCTTTCTGGTGTGCAGCTTCAGCCTTCCCTGGCCCCCATGGGAGGCCAGGAGGGAGCAGGGTCTCCCTCAGGGCTGCAGGGACAGGTCCAGGGCAGCCCCAGGATGGGCTTCCCTGATGGGGAGGGTGGGGGGGTCTGTCTGTCGGGTCCCAGGCAGGGGCAGCCCCTTTTTATTTTATACAATAAACATTCTCCACCAATGTTTCCTCCTTCTCACTGCCCTCCGCCTGGGTTTCGGAGTGCTCCTAACCACCCCCACAGCAGGTGCAGGAGGCTGCGGCTCCCCCAGCAGCACCTTGGAGTACAAGTTCCTAGAGGAGGGCTCAGCTGGGGATGTAGCTCAGTGGCGCCAGACCTCCCTCAGAAGCACAAGGTCCTGAGTTCGATCCTCGGTACCAGGAAAAATAAAGAAATACTATACCTAGAGGAAGCCTCAAGCTGGGTCCCCCGCCCTCTGGTAAGAGGAGGGGCTTCCGCCACCCAAGGGAGACCAGACTAAAGAAGGGCCAGGTGGGCCAGGGATTTAGCTCAGTGGTTTCACCTACTGCTGCGCAAGCGCAAGAGCTTGAGTTCGATTCCTGTTATCAAAAAAAAAAAAAGAAGGGCCAGGTGCCTTTGGTGTCTCCATGACTTCAGGTGCTGGCAGGCAGGCCTGGTGCTGGCCTGGGTCTGGTGGGGGGTGGGAGACACGCTGGGGTGTGGCGGGCTGGGCTGTGCAGCAGCTCCCAAATGTGCTGAGAAGGGTGGTCAGCTGGAGCCCTAGGGGACCCCCAGCAGCTCATCAGCCCCCCACAACTTCCTGTTTTTCTTTTTTGAGACAGGGTCCATCTATGTGGTTCAGGCTGGCCTTGAACTCATGGCGATCCTCCTGTCTCAGCCTCCTGTGTGGTAGGATTGTAGGCATGCACCACCACACCTGGCCCCCTTTTGGCTGGTATTAAAGGCATCAGGCAGAGGGGTAGGGACACTATAACAAGGCATAGACACTATAACAACTGGTGTTGCTTAAGTGAGAAGAGGCTGGACAGTCCGGGAGGGCCCAAAGCCAAGGTCCAGGGTCTTGGCTCAGAGGGTGTTGCATACACCTCAACAGATCCAATGACATCAGGTTGAAGTTGGCCCGGGTGCACGTTTCCACCTTAGAAAAGTGGGCAGACTCCACAGATCAGGGCTTGATTAATCATCAACTTCTAGACTTGAGGTGACAGAGCACAGGCAGGATCAACTGAGGTGCGCCATGCCTGTTCTCATATCTTTGTAAGTAACACAAAACCTTTGGGAAATTTCTTCCAGTATTGGAAAACAATTGTCCATTTCAACAAAGAAGTTGCTCGGCCATTGGCAGATGAGGAAGGTTTGACATATGTCGTCCTGTTTCATGCACCTTACCCATGAACTGCAAGGAAAACTAGCCAGCATTCCCCTGCGAATCACACCTGGCAGGGCCAGTGGCCATTCTGGGTCAGATTCACCACCCCTTTAGGAACCAGCCTGCTGGAAGGTTTCTCTCCCAGGGGGCTGGCCAGGCCCGAAAGCCTCAGGTATGCCAGCCAGGCTACCCTCCACCTTGACTGTGGGTCTAACGGATCGCTGCCCACCTGGAAATCAGCACAAAGCCAAGGCAGAAGAGTCAGGTTTATTGAGGGTTAAGAGTGGGGGTGGGCTCAGCATGGGGTAGAAGTATGTGTGGCTGGAGGCAACTCAGGTGACCAGGAAACCACCATCGACTGGCAGAGTGGACCCTGTGGTCATGCCACTTCGGTCACTCAGCAGGAAGAGGATGGCATCCACCACATTCTCCACCTCTGTGAGGGAGGTGAGGGTCAGGGACCCAGAAGAGGCCACCCTCCTTCCTTCCGACCCCTGCCGCAAGCAGGCACAGGGACCACTGACTGACTCACCAACAAACCTGCCAAGTGGGATGCGGTCCAGAATGACCTTGGCCTTGTGGGGGTCACTCCAGTTGGACTTGCCCATGGGCGTCATCACAACTGTGGGGTTTACTGCATTCACACGGATCTGCATAGAGATGAGCAGGGCTCCGCAAGGTGGGCAGGGCACCCTGGACAAGTGGTCTGAGTGGTGGGGGTCACCCCAGCCCTCTCACCTTGTGGGGCCCGAGTTCTAGAGCCATCACCTTGGTCAGAATGTCCAGGGCACCCTTGGTGGAGGCTGTGAGGGGGAACATCATGGAGCTCAAGCGGGCTAGGGTTGGGGTGGGTGGGGATCAGAATACAGCAAAGGCACTCACAGTAGACACTGTGGTTGGTGAGTGCACGCTGGGAGGACTGACTGGAGACATTCACAATGGCCCCTGGCACTCCCCGGGCTATCATGCCCCTGGCCACAATCTAAAATCACAAAGGGAAATCAGCAGACCTGACATTCTGCGGTCCCGTCCCGACAAGGGCCCCTCAGGGCTGCTCACCTGGCACACCTGGATGACAGCCCGCAGGTTCACATCGAAAGACCTAGAGGTGGATGGACAGACCGTGGTCGGGGGAGGGAGCTGGAGGAAACAGCCCCTCTCCCAGGGTCCCCTTGGCTCTGCCAGCTCACATGTCAAAAGCTTCCTTGGTGACCTCCAGGAAAGGCTGCAGCAGTGCCACGGCGGCATTGTTCACCAACAGGTCCACGGGGCCCACGCGGCTCAGTGCTCGCTCTGTGGCCTCCCAGTCTCCCAGGTCCACGCACACAGGCTCTACCCCGGGACACTGTGTGTATTGGGGCGAGGCACAGCTACCAGCAGCTCTATACCCCAGAGAGGGCACAGCTGGACCTCTGCCACCTGAGGGAGGGGCCCAAACTGGAAGGAGTTGGAGTTGGGAGGGGCTTCCAGTTGGAAGGGTCAGAGGTCTAGGGGCGCCTGTGAGCAGATCCTGGGCTGCACTACCGGAACCGGGACCGCCTCCAGAAGTTCACTTCCTTCCGGCCTCAGGCCTGCTCAGCAGACGCTTCAGCCTCCTCCCCAGCCCAGGGTCGTCCACGCTAGCAGCGCTCACGGGAAAGGGTGCTGGGGTCCCCGCAAGCCCCAACGCCGCGAGAGGGGGCGGGGCACAGAGGGTCCCAACCGCCGCAGCCCTACCTCGGCAGCTAGACTGTCCAGGTCGGCCTGTGTCCGGCTCACAGCCACCACGCGCACACCCGCCGCAGACAGAGCCTGGACCGTGCTGCGCCCGATGCCTGCGGGGAGCTCGGCTCAGCGCGGGTGCACCCTGCCTGGCCTGGCCCTTGGCCCTCGCCCGTCGGCCAGCTTGGCCCGCTCCCACCCACCGACCCACCTTTGCCGGCGCCGGTGACCAGTGCGCAGCGGCCAGCCAACCCCAGGTCCATGGTGGCGCGTCCAGGGCCCCGCGGTCAGCTGGGACTTAAAAGATCCGGGGACTGAACGAGGCCGGGAGATCCCAGGGCGACTTTTGAGAAGGGGGCGGGGATATTTAAATAGTGGCTCTCCTTCGGGAATGATTGGCTAAAGGACAGTGGGCGCGGCAGGGGCGGGGCTTTTCGAAGACTCCCAGAGTGACCGCTTGGGCGGGTTGGTTTAGGGAACTCGGGTCAGTATGCTTTTCCCTGACAAGAGGATTATTATAAAGAATAGAGGTAACCAGACACGAGCTTAAATACCCGTGGTTTCTTTCATATGAGAAACCCAAAGCATGAATAAAGAGTAAAGTAAAAGATAATAGGAAATAGATCTTTTGCAAGTGGGAAGGGACCAAAAGGTGGAGGGATGGGAGAGAAAAAGGAGGAAAAGGAATGAAAAAATAATTTGTATATTATGTACATGTACTAACTCCCCATGACGAATGTAATCATTATGTACTCCAGAGAGTACTAATATACATTAAAATATGAAAAAAGAAATAGATGTAGTAAAGGCCTGAAGGGACATGAAGCTATGCACAAAGCAGAGAACCCAGTGTTAACTTTGACATATCAAAGAGAGCTTCGAATGGACCCCTTCCCAGGACCAGCACTGACAGCAGGTCACCAAGCTTATATGGAAGGCTCAAAAAGAAATAATTAGGGGCCGGGGATTTAGCTCAGGGGCTATGTGCCTGCCTCGCAAACGCAAGATCCTGAATTCAATCCTTGGTACAACACACACACACACACACACAAAAGAATTAGGGTAATAGAGTAAGACTGAAGATGACACATTAGCAAGAATGCCATGCCTCAGCCTACAAGAGATGAACTCTGAGGTCGCCCCCAGGCAGCCTACATATGGTCTAGGTATGGAGTTCAGGCCGGCCTGGAAATTGTGTTGATCCCTTTAACTCAGCCTCCTTGAGTACTGAGACAGCACCTTTAAAAAGGGAACAGGAAAAAAAAAAAAAAGGAACAGGATGGGAGAGGATAGGATTGGAAAGATAGAAGTACATGGTGAGCATTCCTTACCTGGGCCTAGGGTCACTTACAAATGTGACACTAGGTCTCCTCACAAAAGATATTTTCTTCTGTGGATCACTGTGGGAAAGTCTACAGTCATCACCATTGGGACTTTCTGTGGCCACTAAGAGGAAATGCGTGAAGGTAGGGCCTCTGGGTCTCCTGGGGCTTTGGATCCGGAGGGTGGACAGTCTGGAGGCAGGGGTGACCAGGACCGTGGGAAGATGGCCCCAGGCCTTCTCCCTGCTAACCAACCCGAAAGGCCACCCTGTAACCCTACCTTCTGCTCCTAGACATAGACCCTGCCCACTGCCTGCCAGAGACTAAGGAAGGGACATCCCCCACGATGACCTCCCAAGGTCATCTCCTCAGATTCCTTCAGCAGCTAACCTTGGCCTCAGGAGTGTTTGCACCTCACCCACTGTCTGTCCTGTGGTCCTTGGCCACACAGACCCAAGATGGCTGAAGCTTGGACCTCCCTCCCCGGCCCTGCTGACTATCAGAAGTACCCTCACCACCTCCCATGCCCACCCAGTGCCCCTGTGTTCCCAGTCACTGCCTGGAAGGCCTCACCCCAGCCCCTGGCCATTGAATCCTGTGGCAGTCCAGCTGCTGGCCACCTCAGGCCAGGTGGCCTCCCAGACAGCACGGGCAGTGTCAGGCAAGCACAGCCACCCTCCAGCAAGGCCAGCAGGATTCTGGGCCAGCCCCGGCTGCAGGGCTGTTGTACTCTGTACCGGGCCAGAGCAGGTGGGCTACACTTGATCCACCCCATTGCTCTGAACGCTGGCCCCACTGGACCTAAGGGAGCCACGGTCCAGAGCATCTCCCCGTTAGTGGACAGGGGTCAGCGCCAGCAGCGGCGCCCAGGGACGCGGCCTTGGCAGGGGAGGGAGGTGGCCGCGGCCGCCCCGCCTCTGCCTGGGCCTGGGCCCTGGCTGGCGGGCTGTGGGGAGCGCGCCCTCCTGCGAAGCACTGCGGCCCTTGGGTCGGGGCGGCAGGGTCTGCGGTTGAGGAGACTGGCTGCGAGGTGACAGCCGCCCCATCCCTGAGGTACCGCCCACTTGGCGGGGCGCCCACTCGGAACGCTGGCTCGCGCTGGTACCGGACAATGGCGTCCATTTATTTAGGCAAAGTGCCGGGTCGCAGCGGGGACACCGTCGGTGGGGAGGGTCTTGGGTGCGGATGGGGGGAGGAGACGGGTGCCGGCAGGTGGGCTGGGCCGGGTTGGGGGAGGGGCGGATTATGAGGCGGGGGCGTGGTCTGCGTGGGCGGAGCCGGGGCAGCGTCGGCGAGGCCAGGTCTAGGCGAGGTAAAGGGGCGCGATTATCTGGCCTGGAGAGCGGTAGAGGGCAGAGCGCGCACGCGCCTGTGGGAGGGGCCATGGAGGGGCGGGTCAGGCGTTGTTGCAGGTGCCAGCGGGACGCTCCGCTGGCCCGGAGCCTGCGCGGTCCTAAGAAGCCAGGTAGCCGCAGTCCACCAGGATCCCCGAGCCCGTGGTAGAGGCGCTGCGGTCGCTGAGCAGGAACAGGATGCAGTTGACCACGTCCTCCACCTCTGCAGAGCGGTGAGCATGTCAGGGCGGTGACTCGGCCTCTCCCGGGCCCGCAACCCCATTGTCCCCCCTTACCTGCAAACTTCCTCAGCGGATGGCGCTCCATCAGCTGTCGGGAGAACTCAGGGTCGGCCGTGACTTTCTTGCCTATATCGGTCAGCACCACAGTGGGGTTCACCTAGTTCACTCGGATCTGGGGCCAGGGCAGGGTTGGTGGCCTCAGCCCGTGGGTTAGCCCCCTTCCGCCGCCCCTGGATCCCCAGGACTGAGCTTCCTGTGTTCAGCTAAGCCCTCGCCCTACTGCTCCAATGCTCCTGCAGCCCATGCTCATCCTGGAAGCCCTTTCCTGGCCCCAGTGCCTGCCTCTGGCCCCTGAGTCCGGAGCTCGGCTTCCACCCCCACACTCACCTTGTAGGGCCCCAGCTCCCTGGCCACTGTTTTGGTCAGCATGGTCATTGCACCCTTAGTAGAGCCTGTTGGGAGGGCAGCACCAAAGGCCACTCAGGACTGAGTCTCTTCCAGGATGTTCCCTGGAGCCCAGGCCTCCCGTGGGTGGGGTGCAATCACTGTAGGTGAGCAGGTTGGGATAAGTCACGTGGGCCACCATGCTGGAGATGTTGACAATGGACCCCGGCACCCCTCGGGCGATCATGCCCCGGGCTACGATCTGGAAGCCAAGAGTTGGGGGCAGCTCACCCCTGCACCCCCCAGCCAGCTGGCCCCAGGCCACACCTTCCCACTGGCTCACCTGGCACACTTGAAACACAGAACAAAGATTCACATTGAAGGACCTGGCAGAGAGATGGGCCGTGACCACCTGTCTCCCCGCGCCAGTCCTTGGCGGCCCTCCCCAGCCCTACCACATCCCCGATGGCTTCCCACCTGTCAAAGGCCTCCTTGCTGACCTCCAGGAAGGGCTGCATCAGAACCACAGCCGCATTGTTGACCAGCAGGTCCACAGGTCCCACCGTGCCCAGTGCCTGCTCTGTGGCCTCCCAGTTGCCCAGATCCACGCACACAGGCTCTATCCTGGGACACTGTGGAGATGTTGTGGGGTGGCACTTGAAGCATCAGTGAGGGCTAGGGTGCATACTGCAGCCTCGGGGTCCCGTGCCTCACCTCTTTAGAGAGGCTGACCAGGTCGGTGTGGGTGCGGGTCACAGCCACCACTCTGGCTCCAGAGGCATGCAGGGCTTTCACAGTGTCCCGGCCGATCCCTGCAAGGGGGACTCATGGCTACGTGGCACTGGGGACCTGGCCACAGCGGGCGTCAGGGGAGCGGGTGGGCGTGAGGTCAGCCCCTACTGCCCTGGGATAAGCCTCGAGAAGTTGCTGCTGGCCCCAGACCCTGTGTGGCCCAGGTCAGAGCACCAGCTGACCAGGATCAAGCAAGGGTGTCCTGCAGGCAGCTGCCTCCCAGGGTGCCCAAGGGAGGAGCTATAGCTGGACTCCCAGCGGCCCAGGCTGAGTTTAGGGCTGCCCTGGAGCACAGCCAGCTCCCTCTGAGGGGTTTTTTGTTGGCATCTTGGTTCAGTGGGACTCCAGCCAAGTTTGGGCAGAGTTCTGCCTGGGTGGTGTGGTTTTCAGGTGCCTGGGGGTAACCTGTGATGGGGTCCCCTTGGGGCCTTGTCACATAAAGGCTGACGTCCCTTGCTCTCCCCAGCCTCTGGCACCCACAGCTCCTGCTACACTCACCTTTCCCAGCCCCTGTTACCAGGGCCCGCAGACCGCTGAAATTCAGCTGCATGGTGCTGAACCAGTGCAGGGCTGGGGAGGACTGGATTTTATAATCTGGGCTGGCAGGTGTGAGGGTGTGTGGCCCGGGGCAGGCAGGATTCGTTACTCTTGGGGAGTGGCCCTCACTCCCAGACCCTCCAGCCACACTTCTGTACTGGGGTTTGCAAAGTAAATGAAAAGTAAGGTCATGAAAGCGCTTGGACACGGCGGCACTGTGCAAAGGGGAGCAGGGCACGGGGGATGGAATTTTGTTTTTGTTTTTGTTTTTGTTTTTATGGAATTTTGTTTTGTTTTGATATGATTTCTTACCTTACTGGAGATCCCACTCAAGGCCTTTGGCATCCGTAGAAAATGATGTTCCACTAAACCACACCCTCACCCTAGGGAAGTAGAATTTTTGTGGCTTTTGGGAGAGTTGTCTATTCTGGACAGAAGTGTTTCCCTGTAATGGTCACTGGAAGAGAAAGGCCTTCCTCCCTGACAGCAGCTGTGCCGTGGGCATGGGGTGGCTGTCCACACCTCATGGCAGCTCTAGTTCTGCTCTGGCATCCCTGACTGGGTTGCTGCCCTGGGTGGGGACAGCCACCCATAGAGCAGGAGGCAGTGAGACCCTTTCTGAGCTCCCTGACGCAGATGACCTGTCCCCAGGTGCTGGGCAACCTGCCGCTTAAGGTGGCCCTGCCCACCTGACGGCATCGACACTCATGGTCACTGAGCCTCCAGAGCCCTCACCTGGTCCCTCCCAGGTGTCTCTCACTTCCCCGTTAGCATGGGCCTCCTCCCTGGAGGGCCCTGCTGAGGCACCCTCCTGCCCTCTGCAGCAGTATGTAAAAGCTGAAGGGGTTGTCCTGCCCAGGAGTCCCACCCTGACCCCCTGCCAGAAAATCCCCATCTCAGGCTGAGGGCTTTGGGGTCAGTTTGGCAAAACAATCAGAGGACTTAATGTACCCTTCTCCCAATGCCACTTCTGGAAATTTGTCTGTCCTGTGTCCTGAGCACCTCCCACTCTGCGTGACAGTGTGCATGGGACAAACGCCACTGTCCCAGGGTTCAGGGCAGGTCAGGGATTGGAGACATTTGGGCAGCTCATTCATGAAATGCACTCGTATCTCCAGAAGCTGCCTGGGCCAGGAACTTTCCAGAGTCCCTGTTGTATGCTGTAGTGGATCAGACAACACGCATGAATGACAGCCAGCTCAGGTCACGTGGTAAACTGGTGGCCCATGGCCAAGTGTCCTCTGGGTCCCAGAACCAAATATAATCTACTCCTCCAGTTGAAAAGAATAACCTGTAGGGCTGGGGATTTAGCTCAGTGGTTTCACCGCCTGCCGAGCAAGTGCAGGGACCCGAGTTCGATCCCCAGTACCAAAAAAAATAGAAAATAAAAAATGAAAATAAAAGAATAATCTATGGAAGATGTCATAGCTTGCTCTGAAATGCCGGTGGACTTGGATGTGGTGGTGCATGCCTGTAATCCCAGCATTCTGGGAGGCTGAGGAACACAAGTTCAAACCCAGTCTAGGTAGCTCACTGACCTGGTAGGATCCTCTTGTCTCAAAATAACAAATAAAAAAGAGGGAGTGGGGTTTAGCTCAGTGTTTCCACTGCCTGCTTTGCAAGCGCAAGGTCCCGAGTTTGATCCCTGGCACCAAAAAAAATAAAAAATAAAAAATAATAAAAAAATTAAAAAGATCTGGACTGTAGCTTAGTGTGAAGACCCTCCATTCAATCCCTACTACCACACACACACACACACACACACACACACACACGCTCAAACTAAAGAAAGAAAAAACAGCCATGGGCCTGTGGTGTTTCCTGCAGGGTTCTGCCAAGTGGTATAACAGCGTCCCTGTCTGGCAGGGTCGAGTCATGTGCCATTAGGTCTGCTGGCTGCGCACCTGGCCTTTGCTTGCTCTTGGCCTTAGAAGCTGTGGAGTCAGGCAGAGGAAGGAACATGCACAGATGCAGTGTGAGCTTCCCCCCAGCCCAGGGCCCTTCGAGGCACCCTGCCTTCTCCGTGGGAAGGATGTATTTCCCTCCCTCTGGGACACAGATCTACCACACCATCGCCCCTGCAGCCTGTCCCTGCCGCACCCGTGCCCATGCCCAGGTGGCCCAGCCTGGCGTGTGCAGAGTGAGAGGCCATGGAGGCTCCTGACCTTGTCACATGGAGCTAGAAGCTGAAACAGCTGGGGCTGGGGTGCTGCTCATGTAGCGGTGTTCTCCTAAGAAACCCCAGCCTCAGCGGAGTCACCACCTGACTATTTCATGGAATTCCCTGTCACTTCCTGGGGTCCGCCCACCGCCTTCTGCACAGCGGAGGAGGAGGGGGTCAAACCAGGATGTGGCAGGAGCTGCCACCCTGTCTGTTCTGTTCTGCACCGTGACCTGAATCTTTGAAACCATCTAGGAGTGTGGTTCTGCTTTATGCTTTGAGGAGGTGGTGCAGTTCTAGGGTCTTCCGGGTGGCCTTTCCCACCACTGTGGGAATCTCCTGGCCCGTGGGTCAGGAGCCCAGTGTGGGAATCTTTCAGGAATGCAGATGTCTTCCCCGGAAACTGCATGTGTCTTGCCCCTAGGACTGGCCAGGTGAACATCGAGGGCCACTGCCCCAACCTCCTGGACTCCACTGTGACTCCAGGAAGGAGCTGTCCTTCTGGCAGGGGAAGGACTCACTAGAATTTTGGCTTCCTTACCTCAGTTTTATCCACCAAATTCCTTTTTCCATTTGAAGCCTGTTTACAAGGTCCGGGGCCTATCTCTTGGGCACCATGTACTCCGCACTTGGGGCCTTCATGCCACTGTGGTTCTCACATGGCTGTCCCCCAGCACAGAAGGCTGGCACTGGGTTATGGATATGTGCCCTGTCAAGGGGACAGGTTGGAGGTAGCACCAGCTCCCTGTCCATGGTCACAAAGCTGGTCAGTGAAGAACTGGCTTGGCCTGGCTGTCTCAGGCCACTGGACAGAGACCAGGCACAGTGTCCTGTCCCAGGGCTCCAGGGGAAGGTGGGGGCACCTTGGGGAGGGAAGCTGGGTGCTTGCACAGGCACAGACACACCCACCCCCTGTGCCATGCACCTGTGCACACAGGCATCCAGCACAGAGAAGGTGCCTGGGGCCTCAGAGTGCAGGTGCCACCGAGGCTGGGGTAGCTCACAGGCTCTGGCCTCCTCAGAGGCCCCGGGAGCTGGTGAGCTGCAGTATGCAGACCTTCGGGGACCCTCCAGGGCACAGGCAGGGGCTGCAGCAAGACCTGGACAGGATCCTTCCAGAAGCCTCTGAACTTTGGTCTCTAATTCCTTCCCCTTGAACCCCTGCACCCTAGGAAGGAGGTTTTGTCAGCATTTCCCACTTTTAGGTGAAGAGGGTGACCTTGGCGATCCTACCTGAAACTGGATCCCAGGTTCACCTGGGGTCACAGAAATCAGGATGGGGGCAGAGCCAGGGCCAGCGCCATGTGAGTTAGGGAGAAGTGGACTCAAGGGCAAGAGGGAGCCCTGGGCCAGCTGCCTGGACCACCGAGGGGCTGCCAGAGTTCAGGCCCTGGGAGGCAGTGTGGGTGCTGTGGGGACCATTCAGATTCCGGAGCAGGCGGGCAGCGGCTGGCCGGGAGAGAGCTCGAGGCACCCTGGCAGGGGGAGACAGCTGCTCAGGCCACCCTGTCCCTGAGCCTCGCCTGTGTGCACTCATGCACAGGCATGTGGACATGTGGGTGTGGGCCTGCACTGGGCACAGGCATGTGGCACATGTGAGCACGTACAAGGGCCATGTGGACACACAGGAACAAGGCCAGACACGCAGGACACGTGCACACACACAGGCATGACTGTGCATCTGCACACCCTCACACAGGCGCACACAGGTACGCACAGAACACAGTCACCCGTGAGCAGCCTCGTCCGCACACACTGGCACACAGGGTTGAAGTCAGTCACTCTTAATGCTCTGTGGCAGCTAGTAGCCTGGCTTGGTCACCACCCTGTCCTGGGCCCGGTGTCCTGCTGGAGGTCACCTGAAGGCGTATGGGCCACAGAGAGGGTCCCTGAGGTGGCTGTACCCACCCCACCCCTGTGCCTAGGTGGCTCCCGGACTCCTGGCTGAGGCAGATTTGTACCTGGTGGGTGCCCATCCTGGCCAGGCCGGGCGTCTCTGAGAGTAACCATCCCAGGTGGGATTGGGCTCTGCGCAGTGCGGGGCCCAGGACCACCCCAAGGCCTCGCAGGTTCTGGGCTTCCTGTACATATAGCCCAGGTCTTCTGACAGGCACCTGGCTGTTCCGGACAGCTCTCTCTGGACAGTCCCGTGTGGCCTGGTCCCTGCAAGGCCGCTGTCCCCAGAGCTGATGCATGGTTGCCCCTCATGGTCCTGGTCCTGCTCTCTGAGCCTCAGTGGTTCCTTCAGGGGGAAGCTGGGGCTCGGGCTGCCCCAGGAGCCCAGTGAGGGGTAAGTGTAGAGGTGTCTGGGGCTCGGCCGTGCACAGCACTGGCTAGGATCTCCGCCTTTCTCCCGGATCCTGCCCCCGCCTGCATCTTCTAGGTGTGGAAAGCCCTCTGGGCAGTACCCAGCACCCCAGGAAGCTGCTCACAGTGAGATTCCTGTGCCCAGCTGGGGTCCCAGAGTGGGCAGCTGCCCCCCAGAGTTCTCTGGAAAAAAGATCTGCCCTCCACCCCCGTTATATAATGGGATTATGACACAACTTCTGAGGCATGGACTGGCAGAGGGCCCCAGCTGGCCACGTTCCCAGACACTAACCACTTCCGCATAGGGCAAGGGCTGTATAATCTGAGCTGCTGTGCTGTGAATTCTCCCTCCCGGGGTGGGTGCTCTGAGGGGGGCTGTGGATGTTTGTGTGAGTGTAAGATGATACTCTGGGAAAAGCCGCTCAGCCTCTGGCAAGATTAGTCCAGGGTCCAGGGTTGGAGGAGGCCAGGGCACCCTTGCCAGAAAGCTCCCCTGTGTGGGCCCCTTTCCCTCCTCAGGGAACTGAGCCCCACACCCTTTGTGG